TGGGGATTTTTGGTTTATTCTAAGAGTCAAACATTTACCTGACATTGAACAGAAACAGAGAAGAATATTCTTGTAACAGGTAGGTAGCCCTGCTAAACCTAAAGAGTTCTTGCATCTAAGTATAGCTCCCTTCCTCTTGCTTACGAGGTCTGCTGAGCCTAGCTTCATTGCAATTTCTATGAAAAATTAGGAATTCCTTTGCTTCTCATCCAGGGCATGCTGCTTTCTCTGAAATGCCCCTATTCTTATAGAATACCTGAAAGTTTTTAAACTGGCTGCAGCCTTCCACGAGTTTTAAATACCATTTTAAAAAAATGCTTTCCAGTAGCCTCCAGATATTAGCAGATAATGGCCAGAGCTGGGAGGCCCAAGAGGTCAGGTTATGGAATGGGCATTGTTGTGTTCCTTGGATTTCAGAGGCATTCTTCTTCCACCTCAGGTAGCAAAGGCCAGATTACACTGGAACCTCAAACTAACCTGTTCCAACATGCTTCATGTCTTTTGTACATATTTAAGAAGAATGGGTCCTCACGCAAGCATTTCAAATCCAGAAACAAATTTGAAAAAAATTGCTACAACATGTTGACTGATTTCTTGCCAAGTCAGCTAGTGAGAGCTTTCTTGATCAACTCCTGCCTGCACTGAGAAAATTAGAGGGGAAAGCATGTACCTTCTGTAATTAAAAATTTAAACTTCATACCCTCAGTGCTCACTTTTTTTAAAACAAGCATTCTCTCTCTCTCTCTCTCTCTCTCTCTCTCTCTCTCTCTCTCTCTCTCTCTTCTCTGTCTCTCTCTCTCTCTCTCTCTGTCCCTCTCTCTGTCTCTCCCCTTTTTCCTCTCCTTCCCTGTTTCCCCCTTCTCCTTTCTTTGTCTTCTTCTCTCCTTTCCCTTTTCCCCTATCTCTTCTTCCTCTTTACTCTTCTGTCCACCTTTGTATCTCTCCTCCAGCCCTCTCTTCCCCTTCTCTTTTTTTGCTCTCTCCACGTTTGCCCATATTCTTCCTTCTCTCCTCTCCCTGCACCCTCCCTCCCTTCTCTTCCTGCCCCATATCTACTCTCTCCCCCTCTCTTAACTGTCCTATGTTAGCAGTGTGCTCTGTTAACTCAGGTGTATTAACTTTTCCTTTTTTGTATTGATACAATAGCATGGCCCTAGGAAATGACCTTCTACAGATTACATTCAGATGCATAGAATCAACCCAGAAGAAAGGTTAAAAGACATTTTTTAAAATGATACTTGTCAATAGTAGAAGGAAAGCTATTTGTAGCCAGCAGGTGAGCTGGAGAATACTACAGGGTGTGGCAGAGATACTAATAAATTAACTGCCAAGCCCAAAACTATAACATAAACACACACACCAAGGGGGGGAACCCCCCAAAAAAACCCACCATGCAGCTATTTCCAACCATAGAAGCATGACAGCTATGAGAAAGGAGTGCCGTGGGGAATTCTTTCGGAGTTTGATTTTTTAAAAAATATGTTTGACATGGAAAATGTTTTAGTACAAATACGGCAACTGGTATTAAACTTACCATGGGGGGGGGGGAAGGAGGAATTGCAGTGCAGTGTGGAGCTAGGATGAATAATGCATGATATTTAAAGAAAGCACAGCCCGATGTTCCAGGAGCCGTCCATGCTGATAGTTTGAATGGCGATTTTTTTTTCCTATTTAAAGCATCATTAATTCAGCATCTTTGTGATGTTTTTTAACCTGGTAAAATATTGACCAAAGAAACATGATTTAACTTAGATTAGCATATTCTTTCTTCAAATAATTTAGCTTAAATATGAAGGAGATCAGTAGAATTATTTAAGCATCAAGTGACAATCATTTACTATAAAAAATAATTTGATCTTGTTATCTGTTTAAAGAAAAAAAATAATACACCATCCCCACATAACACTGCGAGCTAAAATCAACCTCATGGAAGGGGGAAAAGCAAGATCCGATATTTTGAACATTGCTCCATAGGAGACCGGCACAATGTAGTGTTAGTGAGTGCATTGTCGCTTAGCTCCATATGCAATCAGAAGCCAATTGTTACTGGACTGTGTACAAGCACACACTGTGCTCAATGGTCTGATGAGGTATTATGGATATGATGCAAAGAGACCGTGTGGATTAGAAGCTCACAATTTGTTAAAAAGTGAAAGCAACTTAACATTTCCATTGGGTCAGCTGAGTAGCTCTTCATGTGGCAAGCAGAGTGAACTAGTTCTTGGGATTCAGGAAATCCAGGAAGGTTTCAGGTACAGAAATTTAAATGGACATTTCTAACCTTTGAATGGCCCTTGATCAATTCCTTGGGATCCCTCCACGTTCCATCTTCATTATTGCATTCTGCATTCAATGTGAAAAAGTTCATGCAAAACAGCTTGATTATTATAAATGTCAAAAATGTGCCGAGGAACAGCCTATTAAAATGTAGCCTAGAGACAGTACATAACACTGACTTTAAATAAGGAGCTAGAGCCAAAGTGATACTCCATTAAATCACTGTTATTGGGTAATTTCTCTATCAGTGTATTAATTTTTGTTTACAGGTCCCCCCTGCCCCCAGTAAAGCCCTTCCTAGTGGTTCTCGTGTCTTCAGGCCACCAAATGTGGCTGGTAGCCCTGGGAGGCAGAAGTCCCTGAAGTCACCCCCTTTTGAAGGTTGTTCATAGAGCTGGATGACTAATTTACTGAGATTTAGCATTAGTATTTGCCTGTGCCCTACACTTACTCATAGCCTCATGACGGGATCAAAGACTTAAGAACTGAAAGGGGACTTAGAAGTCATGGAGTCCAACCCTATCATTTAATAGATGAGGAAACCGAGGTCTAGAGAGGCTAAGTGATTTGCCCAAGATCACACAGTAAGTTTCAGAGCATGGATTTGAGCGTCCCTGGGATCGGCATACATCCTGGTGCACCATAGATAAGCTCCACCAGGTTGCCTCATTTCTGGGGAAAATTTGGTCTGATTTTATCAAATTATTGCCAGATTATATTTGTAAAGTGTCAGGGTAGGCATGATTCTGTACCAGGGAAGGTTAATACCAAATAACTGAACAGGGTTACTTTACTACAGGAGTACTTGATCTCTAAGGTATAATGGCATTTGGGGTTCCTATGATTTGCCTGTTTGCAAAGTGGCCAATAATAGTTGGTTTTCTTTTAATAATAATAATATTCTTAGGAGTTAGTATTGCGATGAGTGTGATTGTAGATTTGGGAAGTAGGACCTACAAGAAGTTTTTCTGATCTTACCCCTCCCTACCTTATTGTTAATACTATCCTCTTGACATCCTTTTATATTTACTTTATATTTATTTTCTATATGCTAATTATCTGCCTATGAGAGATAGTGTGATGGCCTTGAGGTCAGGAAGCACTAGGTAAAAGTTCTGCCTCTTACATATACTGGCACTGGGACCTTGGACCAAGTCACAATCTCCCTGGGCCTCCAGGCCAGTTCTCTAAGACTCTAACTTGTATAGCCGCTGCCATTATGAATCGATGGAGGGAGTTTCTTACCAGGAAACTGCCTCCAGTGATGAAATTACAGAACTGTCTTATCTCCTTATCTGTACATGTTCTTTTCTTTTCTTTCTTTTTTTTTTGTACATGTTATTTTCCTTCTGATAGAATATAAGCTCCTTGAGGACAGGAACTATGGTGTGTGTGTTTTTTTATTTTTTATCTTTCTATACCCAAATCCATAATACAAAGGCTGGCAAAGAGTAAGAAGATAGGGGAGAGGAAATGCACCCATGATTTCGCTGGGCTAGTTAGTGGGCTTCCTGGTGATGAGGCTCCTGCCAGTGCACACCTGCAACGTCTCTGCAACCTTGAGTCTTAGGGAATTGTCTGGAGGACAGAGAGGTTAGAGGGATCTGTCTAAGGTCACGTGGCCAATATGTGTCAAATGCGGAACTTGAACCTGCCAGATACTTCCTGTCTCCATGGCCAACTCTCTGTCTATTTCATCATACTGATGTGTATTTGCTGAATGAATGAACAAGGCTACTAGTGGCTGTACAATAGGGGGATTTTTACCAATAAAATTAATTTCTTTTGGGAGATCTAGTTAGTTTCTTTTTTTAAAAAGTATGATACTAGTCTCCATTCTGCTATCAACATTTGTGTGATGTTTGGGAAGCATTTTCCCTTTCTAGGTCTCAGTTTCCTCATCTGTAAAATGAGAGAGCTGAATGAGATGGTGTCCTAAGCTTTATTCCCATGCCAACATCCTATGAATCTCTTTGATCTTCATGGCCCTTGAACTCCTAGGGAGGGCCTGGAAAATAAAACATTCTCCAGAAAGCTGGTGGCTGAGATTGTGCTATTCAGTTCCCACTATTGGATCAGGATGACTCTCTCTCTCTCTCTCTCTCTCTCTCTCTCTCTCTCTCTCTCTCTCTCTCTCTCTGTTTCTCTTTTCTCTTTCTAAGTGTCTCCCCTTTCTCTCCCTTTCTCCCTTTGTCTCTTTCTTTCTCTGTCTGTGCCTGTATCTCTGTCTGCCTTCCTATTCACACCCCCAACTCAGGGGTACTTGGGAAGCTCCCCATTTCATCTTCTTTCTTGGGCGCTAATGCTGTGTTTTGCCTCCTGAGCCAGGATGTTTCCCTAAGCCGTTTGCAGCTTTAATAGAAAAAGCCTGTACATATCTTTGGTGCACTGCGTGTCGAGTTGGCTTCAAGATATTTTTGTACTCTCAAAAATGATGTATTACATGATTTGTAATGGAGAGAACATGCTTGAATTGCACATTTAATTTTTTTTCTCTTTCCCATCACATTTATGCGTTGCCAGTTTGCCTACTAGCAATCTCGCTTAGGGAAAGTTCCAAGGTAACACTACAAGTCTGTGCCCAACTCAGCCTTTTGTTTCTGCAGATGTTTGGGCTTAGAGCAGTGCTGTAGAGCCCAAGCAACGTGAAGACCCTGTTTGTACTTGTCTGCTGTGATTCTCTGCTCATTGTCTAAACCTGTATGCATTGTTCTCTCCGACAGGTGATAACTACCCCGTACAGTTCATTCCATCAACAATGGCAGCTGCTGCTGCTTCTGGACTGAGCCCTTTACAGCTCCAGGTATGTGCCAAAACAAAAAAAAATGTGGGACACCAGCCAACACTTTAGTGGAAAACTGCTAACCAGCTGTATGCTAAATAATGGCCTGAATGTTAAATAATTTTTTAAGCATAGCCCAGAAGGATTAACACCTTATGTACTTACCATACTCCAAATAGGGATGTCGGCTGCCAACTTCAGTATTTTAAAAGGGGGAAAATGACATGATGACTTAGTCTCCCCTATTATAGAGCAAATGAGTCAATAGTTGTTAATGAATGTATGCCCAATTGTCTTTAGGTATGTTCAGTTTAACCTCCTCTGAATTTCATTTTTTATCAAAATCTTTTCTGCCCCAAATGGCCTTTTTTTTTTCTCCACAGGCATCCAAGCAGAGTCCATTGATTGGGTATTTTACTTTGTGCACCTTATAGAGGGAGGGAAGGGCTCTTTCTCCCTCATGGCTTCATAACTAACCAACCTAAGAGCTTTAAGAAGACTCTCTCTGCATCTGTGTAGTCTCGACCTTCCCAGTGCTGAGATCTGAGCGAGGGCCTCTGGTCTTGGCCTGCTCACTCACCTTCAGTCATGAAGCTGTTCAGAGTCAGAATGATTTAAGCACTAAGCAAATAACCCTCAGGTCCTGTGTTGCCATTCACTCCCTATGTGACCTTTAGCCAGCCCCTTTCCCTCTCTGAGCCTCAGTTGCCCCATTTGTAAAATGAGGGGGGGTTGCTGCAGTTATATCTATGCTTTCCAACTCCAGTGCTCTAAAAAATTAGTTTTTCATTGAGAGATATGTTTTTACAGCTAAAAACACAAATATAAGACTGCCAAAAATAACTATAAAGTATTTAGAATGAGAAGTATTAGAAAATAGGTGATAATGAACACCTGAAGACTATGGCTGGTTTCAACCTCAAAAGCAAAAAACTGGAACGAACAATTTCACAGCAACGACAACAACGAAATCACTTCATGGTTTATTTTTGTGTGGCCAAGCCAAATGATGGTGAAGCATTTTGTAAAGGCTCCACCTCAACATCTCTCTCAACTGTACTCCATGTCCTTCTTGCTTTCTCCCTTCTTCCCTTCCCTACTCTCCCGTGCCCAATTTTGCCAATCAACAACTTCCTGTAGCCATTGAAGACTGTAAGAGAGGGAAGCAAATAACTCATGATGTATAATGGCAAAATTGTGAAGAGATAGAGTTTTGGGCTTTGAGTCAGGATGATTTGATTTCAAACCCTACCTCTAACGCTTACCAGCTGTGTGACCTTGGGCAAGTCACTTAACTTCTGTTTGCCTCAAATAACTATCTAAGGCTTGATTAAAAAGTCATGGATGGGTTGTGATCTTCGCAGATGAAGCAAATTCTCCACCCAGACAAAGTCACTTATCCTGTGCCTATGAGGGACATTGCTACCCTGCTGTCCTGTCTATTACAGGAGACGTAGTCAGTATATAAGAATGCCTCTGTTCTTGTGCCTCTGTAGCTCTGCTCCATCAAAATATCTTCATTTGGATGTATGTGTTTTCCCCAAGCGAAAATAAAAGCCCAAGCCCTTGGTTTGATCTGTAGGCCACTGGGGTTTCTCTAAGAGAAAAGGGGCCTCAGTTTGTCCCTCGTTGGTGTGGTCATTGCCCCAAGTTGAGAAATGCCTGGTTTTGTGTCTCAGGTTCTGACAGAGTGTTTGTTTGTTTTCTTTTGTTGGCTACGCTACTAAACAGAAAGGGCATGCCTCCCACCCACAAATTAGCCCAAGACTAAAGGGCCTAAGTGAACGTTATGGCAGGAATTTGGATACCTTTGAACATGGTGGTGGCCAGTCTTACAACCACAAAAAGATTGAGGTATGAATGCTTCCATTGATGCTTCTGTGGGTGGGGATGTTGTTTGTTCCAACATACTCCCAGCTCTCTCTGAAAGTGGGGACCAGGGGAGCACATCAGGTGAGGAATCCTCAGGCTCAATCCCTTTCTCCCTAAAGAGATCTTACAGGTTGCTATCTCTCATTTATGGTAAAACAAACAAAAAGAACCCAAGCAAACTTCCCAGAGGTATTCATTTGTGGTTCAGTGTCAGGTTCCATTTCTATAAATGAAGTCTCACCTTTGTCTCCTTTCCCCTTGGTCCCTACCCCCTGCCCTGTTTTGTAGATTTTCAGACATGTCCCACATACATTGTCTCAGTTGATTTTCAAGGCCTGTTCCTGTGAGACTGGTAGGATTGGGGTTGATTTTGTTGGTGAGGAAACGAAGGCACTTAGAGATGAAGAGACACGCTCCACACTACACAAGTTATTAGTGGATCAGCTACCAGTTTTCCTTCCATTGGAAGGGGCTTTCTATTGTCCCAGATCTTTCTTCTCTGGTAGACTCGGTCTAAGGCAGAGCTCCATGAGATTCCTAACATTGTCCATTTCCAGTGGTTCCTCCTTGTTCTTCGCTGTCTAGCAGCCGATTCAGTGGTGTTAGCTTTGGGAAATCATGATCCTACATTACACACATGACTCATCCTCCTTTTCTGCTGAGTCATGAGTGTTGAACTTGGAGTCAAGAAGACCTGAGTTTAAATCCTACATCAGATATTTGCTAGCTGTATAATCCTAGATGGGCAGCTAGGTAGCACAGTGGATAGAGTGCCACTCCTGGAATCAGGAAGATTCATCTTCTTTCAATTCAAATCTGGCCTCAGATACTTACTAGCTGTGTGACCCTGGGCAAGTCACTTAACCCTGTTTGCCTCAGGTTCCTCATCTGTAAAATGAGCTGGAGAAAGAAATGGCAAACCAGTCCAGTATCTTTGCCAAGAAAACCCCAAAATGGGGTGACAGAGTTGGACACAACTGAAAACCACTGAACAACAATGACAATGACCCTAGGCCTATCATTCACCTTGCTGGGGCCTCAGCTTCTCATCCATAAAATAAGGGCACTGAGCTTAATGACTTTTGAGATCGCTTCTCACTCTAAATATATGCTTGTATGATCCTTCATTAAGGGAGATGTAGGAGAATGTTTAATTTCTGTTCTATTCAAAGCAAAGAAAACAAGTTACATCAATTTGAAGCACATTTTCATTTTTAGGGTTTCAAGTATTTTTGTAGGGTTCCTACACATGATCATGATTCCAACTCCCAGCCCATGACCATGGATCCAAATCACTAAAGAAAAATAATTCTGCTATCGTAAGGGTGCCCCCAAGCCTGCTCCTATTTGCTTTGGATATCTGAAATATCTAATATTAGATAGTTAGGAAAGGTGAGTCGCGCTGTTCCCTATCTTTTCCTTTTCCCCTTTCTCTCCTTCATTTCTCCTCCCCCATTTCTTTCTTTTAAAACTTGTATTTTGGCAAATAATATGCAAAATCAGTTCTTTGGAAGAGAGAGAAAATGATAAGAAGCTGGTATTGATGGAGTTCGGGAAGGAATTCACAGTATCCTCTCTCCTCTACTCTCTGTTCACTAGGGGATGTATGTTGGGAGTGGAAGGGAGAGGTTCTGATGGGGCATGACCAGCCATCCACTAGAACAGAGGTAGTTCTGTCTTCTACTTGCATGGCATGTCTTTCCTCAAAACTCTGCTTTGTCTCTTTAGAAGGCTCCATAATTAAGTGAAGCCTAGATATGAGCTGATGGTGTTATTGCTATCTTTTTACCATCATTGTTGATGAAGCTCAGAGAGAAACAACGGGGATGGGTCACTCACCTGCCAGTATTCTTTTATTTTAAATGTTCTGGGGACTCCTACAAAAGCTGATAAAATATTTCTGATGGTAGTTGAATAAAAGTATTTGGATATGAGCTCCTCCTTGGTAGACCTACTGAGAGCATCCTCAGTACAGTTCCACCTAGGTGGCACAGTGGATAGAGCACTGGACCTTAAGTCAGAAAGAGCTGAGTTTCAAGCCAGTTTTAGAAATTAGCTCTGTGATCCTGGGCAAGTCCCTTAATCTCTCTCAGCCTCAGTTTCCTCATCTGCAAACAGGGAATGGGGAGAAAAAGAGTGCCTCCCTCACAGCATAGTTATGAAGATCAAATGATATAACATATGTAAGGGGCTTTGCAAACCTTGAAGCACTGTATAAATGCTAGCTATTATTATTGTTGTTGTGTTGTTGTTATTATTATTATTATATTATTATTATTATTATTATTATTGTTATTGTTATTATTCAGCACCAACAGGGAAGAGATGTCCTTCACCTATCTAACTCTCATGTGATTTTGAATCTGTGTTTTGAAAAATTTTGCTTCCATGTGGGTTGGAGATTATGAGTATTTGGTGGTGGCCCCACCTACTTAAAACATTAAAGTGTTGATGGATCATTGTTATGTCCCTGGGTTGTGGGCAACAGTTTCATTTGTGATAATGATTTTTTTTTCAGTACGATTTACTGGTAGAGTTTTCCAGGGTACTTTGAGGTCTATATTTGTAATAAGAAAGTTAGTATTTGCATTGGCATTAGTATTAGTATCTATTGTGTTTTTGGGAGAGAAAGCAGAGAGTCACCTGAACATTAGAAATGGGTCTGTATGATTATAGTTAAACAGGTCTGCCTACCTAAGACAGAATGTATGAAAGACTCCGAGTACTTGGCAGGACCATGAAGACGGGTGGCTTTGGCTCAGACCCCAGACAGTCTCTACCCTTTGTCTTTTATTTCTCCCCTGGATCTGGGTACCCAATTGTCACCTCCTTCCCCTCCCCCAGTATCCTTCAGCCTTTCTCCATCCTTCTTCCATGTCTGCTTCTCTTTGCATCGTTATCTCCTTCCTTGAACCCTGCTTTCTATCTCTCTGGAGCTCTTTCCCTTTCTCTCTGTCCTTCTCTCTTCTTTTCACCCCAGCATCTAAAAATCTGGCGTCTGTTTGGCTGCTGGAAAGCATGAAACCAGATTTCTGTGTCCAGGTCCACACAGTGCTGTGTATACCACTGCTGATCCATCTGTACAACACATGCCACATGCCAGTCGCTTTAATTAGGGTGAATAGGAAGTCTATTAATGAGGGAGCCCATGCAGTTTTCACTTGAAATTTTGACTGACCAGGAGCTCTTTGTAGCCCCTCTGCGTCTTGCCCTGTTTTCCCTCCTCGCTTCTCTCAAGTTTCCCCCTGCCTGTCAGGAAATCTCGCGCAAGCTGGAGAATGCATGGCACACTATTTGGCAAAGGCTGAGACTGCTTGCCAGGCGGGTTTCCCAAGCCTTCCCAGCATGGCTACATCTTGATGCCCGGGAAATCCCAGAACAGCTCAGCTGACACCTACCTCTTTAGTTCTTATATACGGATGCTGCTGCATGAAATCTATGACAAAACTGGGGCAGGACAACAATCCCTCCCTCTCCCAACTTTACAGCAGGTTTGAAAATTATTATTATTATTAGCAGAGATGCTTTCATCTGGAGCTAAAGACATTCTCTCTGTCTCCTCCTTCCCAGCCCCCATCTGTTTGCAAGCTAAACAAGGAAATGCCACAGCTCTGTCAACAGCTATGATAAATTGTTGATACTAATGAAGCATTACAATTATGTTAGCCAGATTTATTCCTAAACACAGGTTCCCCAGGAAAAAAAAAGCCTACGTCAAACACATACACGCACATAGACATGTGCCACATGTGCACAGGGTTCCAAACTCATCTCCCTGCCTGAATTGCCCCATTCTATTTTGTTCTTCAAAGTTTGTCACTTATAACATGAATGAGGCTGGGCAAGTCTCAACAGCATTTGCAGCTGTAATCTGGAAGGTCGAAGTTTTGTAATGGAAGGAAGCAAAGGTATTTAAAATGGAAAGACCCTCTTCATATTGGCCTGATTTGACCCCTCCCTCCCTCCCTTCCTCTCTCCTTCTGTTCCTTCCTTCCTTCCTTCCTTCCTTCCTTCCTTCCTTCCTTCCTTCCTTCCTTCCTTCCTCCCTCCTTCCTTCCTTCCTTCCTTCCTTCCTTCCTCCCTCCCTCCCTCCCTACCTTCGTTCCTTCCTTCTTCCCTCCCTTCCTCCCAGCCTTCCTTCCTTTCTCTCTCTCTCTCTCTCTCTCTCTCTCTCTCTCTCTCTCTCTCTCTCCCTCCCTCCTCCCTTCCTCCCCCAACCTCCCTTTCTTTCTTTCTTTCTTTCTTTCTTTCTTTCTTTCTTTCTTTCTTTCTTTCTTTCTTTCTCTCTCTCTCTCTCTCTCTCTCTCTCTCTCTCTCTCTCTCTCTCTCTCTCTCTCTCTCTCCCTTTCCTTTTCTCTCTCTATCCCTTCCTTTTTCCTTCCTTCTTTCCTTTCCTTCTTCCTTTAAATTATAGACACAGTAATGACTTTTGATTGTTGTACTGGGTACTGATCCAAGGCTCTGCTCACTGTGCCTCAGGGGCACACTATTGTAAGAATGAAGGCCAAAAAAAATTCTATTTTTAGTTGAACCATTCAGCAGATGGAGGCATGCATACTCGTCTATTTGAAGGTCGACGGGGTTTGAACCATTAATTTTGATAACATATTTAACCCTGGGAACAATCAGAAACTGCAACTCTCAGGTTACAATGCTTTTGACCTTTTAGAGAACAGAGGGCACTCAGTACAGTAAGCAATATATTACATTTCTACTTATTCTGATTCTCTCACACATATAAATTTCAAGGCATGGTTGACATTTGCTTTCCTCAGCTATTTTAGCATTGGTCCTTAAAGTAAGTCAAGAAGAATGTGTAGGGAAAGGGGGCCAATGTAATGTGACAGTCATGTAAATACAGTCCTTTAAATAGCTCAGATGTTAAATGTGGCCTTTTATGAAGAAATATAATTTTTTTTCCCTCAGGAACTAGGCTCTTGGTGACTTATTTCAATGAAAAAATGGTTTTAGAGGATTGGCTC